GAGTAGATTATTCGCCATACCATACTCTGTGTCATTTGTTCGACCTCCATAACAACGTAGATTTCAGGTAAAGTCAACTTTTTTTTTTTTGTCTAAAACTTTTTTTTATTCGCGCGCTCGCATCAGTTTTGGGGTTCCCAGAGGATGTCATCCATATAATCAAATCAACATGGCCTAATAGGAACAAACTTAAGCTTCTTACCAGTCATTGATAATGACCTTAAGATGAAATTGCAATGAATTTTTCTTAATTATAATAGATCATTATAATGACAATGGATTATGAATACTGAATATCTTCTATTGATTTTAACAGAAAGAGTATGGAGAGTTTATGAGCAGATCAGAGTATCAGGACCCTGAGTTCAGGAAGGGAGTTCTCATGGAACACCTCGCCAAGTTCTTCCAGAGCATGGCCCAAACAGATGATATGGAGGATGGAGATGTGGTGAGTAGAAAGAAGTAGTTAATATGGCCCATCACAAGTCGGTGGTTAGTAGGGCTGCGTACCGGTTCACTGGACTTGGATCCGGACTTGTAATAATGTTTAGGTTCAAGTCCAAAAAAACCTAAAAGTCAAGAATCGAGTCCGGACTTATTACCATAAAAGACCATTTCACATACCCCTTTTCTTACCAAACCACCTAAAACCTCCCATAGATTGCAAAATCTTTGCTGCAAAATGAAGGAAACATTGCCATCGGGCATCGTAAAGTGTCGGCCTCCATGTTATGTGGCCAAAAAACATTGCAAGGTTGCCAATTAATGCAAGTTTGTATATGCTGTGGGTTTGGGTCCGGACTTACAAGTCCGGAACTGAACCTAAACCTCTGGACTTGAATCCGGACCTGAACCTAAATGTGGGTTTAGGTATGCAGCACTAGTGGTTAGGTAGTCAGCACCTACATACATTTGTACATTGTACAGTAATTGTATCTTGACATACATGTACTGTATGCTCCACTGGAGAACATCACCAATTTTACAGGATTGCTAAGAAACTTGAGTTTGATTACATCTTTGACATAACATTTGAAAATAATTAATTTTGTTAATGACCCACCCTGAGGTGTATTACATGTATGGTGTGATAAGGCCTTGTCTGTTGCTATAGCCGCACTAATGGAACAGGGTTTTTTAGACGAGTTAGGCCACACCAATTTGATTTCTTGGTTAACGGATTTTTTTAGAAAAATAATGGAGCGGGCGGGCGAAAAAAAAATAAAAATAAAAACAGGCCTAGGCATCCTATTATGGCCCAAAATGGTACGATAGGAGCCATGAAGTCAACACACCAGGCTGGTTCAAAATTTAAACAAAGAATTTTGAACTTTTAATGATACCACTGCATTGAAAGATGGAATAACTGTAACAACTAGGAAGAAAAGGACTGTTTTCAACTGTTCAGAGCAAAATATGAGCATTTTGCAGTTGATTCTGAATTTTTATTTTTATTTGCAAATCAGAAAAAAATGAAGCGGGCGAATCCGTTAACCAAGAAATTTAATTGGTGTGGCCTTAGTTAATGTCAAGACTGACAGTAAACATGTTTATTCCAAAAAGTAATGTGCCACTAATGTTAGAAAGAAGAGTACATTATAATGGTGTGGTCAATTATTTTAATAACTGACCACTCATGATATGATTATCAACAAGTTGTCACACTTTGTATGGCATTACGACATAACTAAATTATAATAGAGACTTCTGATTGGCCAATGCCAGCTGGCCTTATCATAATGTTAGCTACCTGATAGTACCTAACATATACATTGACAGCTTCTTTAGCGTTTTTTCCAGAATAAGAAACCAGCCACATACAGTTACATGTACAATTGTACATGTATGTTCTTATTGTTGCAGAGTGAGGAGTGTCCATGTCATGATGACAGAAAGAGAAGACCTATGAAAGGAAACTACAGCAAGATGTTTAGGTACATGTATTTCTTTACCAGTCAGCTTGTTATTTACTTGTAGAGGCCACACTGACTTTTTTTTTTGGATGATTAATTAATTTTTGCCAGTTACAATGACAATGACAATGAAGTTTATTGCATGTTCACGCCCTACACGGGCCAGATGCACTTAAGTTAAATAACTTGGTAACAAGAATAGAAGAAGCAATTGTTACATTCGTGTGCTATTTCTCTATCTACAGGATCTAACTACAGGATCTCTTCTCTCTTTTTGAAACATGCATGAACAAATGTACATAGTTTTTCAATTATATCATAGCGCTTGGATGTCATAATATGTTTGAACAATTCTATTTTTGGCAAGTATGCAAATTTCTTTTCTAATTGTAAGGAGCTAATAAAGGATTTCCGGATGTCATTGTATACCGCACATTCTAAAACAAAGTGTGCTTCATCCTCTATACAGAGTGCAAATTCTGCTGTCTGCGGGAGTCTGGTTGTACCTACCGATTTTTATAAAAAAATCACCTCTAACAAGGCTTGACAGAACTCCAGAACTCAGTATAGTGTCAAATCATAAATGCCACAAAAGTCCTCTATGATTGGGCTCTGTGTACAACGTTCAATGTGTGATCTTTTCAGTTTCCTGAGCATGTACATGTACATGTATGCATTATACCGTAGTACATGTACTTAGGATTTGAACAAAGGTGGTATCATAATATCTCCTGCTGGGTTCTTTGGATTGAACATGACCACAGTATACATCAAACGTCTGTGAACAACACGTCAGTCTTTGAACAAGACAACCTACATGACCTCCTATGATCTACATGACTACATAATAGTGTAAAGAGTTGTTGCTTGCAAATAGACACTCGAGTATACGTCACATTCTAGAAAACTAAACGGAACATACACGAAGATGTTGCGAGTGGTTTTCAATACACCATGGTGGAAACACACTACTAATGAACAGTTATACGGTTCGCTACCAAATGTAACTTCAGTAGTCAAATGTCGACGACTAAGCTTGGCCGGTCATGTAGTACGTAGTGAAGAACCAGCCAGTAGGCTTCTACTCTGGAACCCTGATACCGGTAAGAGAAGAGTTGGACGCCCAAACATAACACTTATTAAGAAACTTATTGAAACTGAAACTGGCTTGGAGGGACATGAACTTATCTCAGTAATGTATGACAGACAGTTGTGGCGAGCTAACTTCGTATGCTCCACCTCTACTACAGAGGATGAATGATGATGATGATGATGTATGGTCCTGCAAACTTTTGTTAAATCATAAAGCTCCATCCTTCATTAGTGTTTTTAATATTTCATATTCAGGCTTGCCAAACTGTTGGGGGTGTCCTCGGATGAGCTGAGGGGTCACCTGGCCGTTCGGGCTTCTGAGGATGGAAACATTGACAGTGCCATTAACATGTGCCAGTAAGTACCTATAGAATACAACATGGTGTATTCCTTATTATCCAAGGTAACAGACCAAGCCTGGGACCAAGCTGTATTTTATATACAATTTATGTCATGCCCACCCAAGAAAGCATATATTTCTATACGAAATGTTGCAGAAATTGAGAAAATTTAGTTTCCCTAAACAAAAAAGTGTAACAACTTCAATTCTATTGTCCGAATCCAGTATTCAAATTTTTCAAAGCAGCACACACATTGCACGCAAAATATGTTCTAGGGAACTTTTGGAAGCAACATCATGTAACCCAACACCAGTTACCATGGTGACAGACGTCAACAAATCAGGACATTAGCCAGGTCAGAGGTCAGTGTTTGGAATGAAAGAAGAAGAAGAGGAGGAAATGTAGCAAAAATAATATGTATTTCTTCGGTAAACGTAAAAAAATTTTATGTTTTTTTAGGATCCTGTATGAGCAGGCCCCGAACGCCACCACAGGAAGGGTGCTGTATAACGTGGCACACAACCTGTGCAGCATGCAGGCCGACCCCGACGCACACCTGGTCACACGTCACCGGTCATCCATCGCTCACACCATCCACCAGCTGGCCAGCCAGGCTCTCACCATCTGTGAACAAGGTTTGTTTGTTTGTTTATTTAGATCTCCATTAGTATGGAAGTCAACTCCATACTATTCTTCCTGGAGTCCACAGCATTAAATGAAATAACAATAATAATAATAATAATTGCTTTTAGCAATAATAATAAATAAAACATACAAATCATACTGAAATTATAACAAACTTGAAACAGAATCAGTCAAAGAGAAAAAGGGGATTGGAGATCAGAGGTCAAATAATAGAAATAATATGTATGAAATGAAAGTAATAATTGATGTACTTCCAATAAATACAAACTTGAAGTACCAAAACAGTAAACAAATATTTGAACTGACATAAATAATAACAAAAAATATGAATAACAAATCAATATACGCTCAACAAAATGTGATTCCTTTCAATTAAATGATTAAATAATGACTACAAAAGAAGAGAACTCACTCAATACTTAAAGGAACAAAGGCATGTGAACAGTACTGGGAACAAGAGCAACTAACAATACTGCAGGGATCAAAAT